TTGACACTAACCTCATCGTCAATGAACTGTTGAATTTCTGCATTCTCGCTGGAGTCCAAAAATCCTGCCAAACCAAAGTCGTCATCAAATTGCACAGGAACATTTTGGTCGTCGGCCACTCTGCCGAAATGGAGCAATGACGTCGCTGTCGTGTGTCCTAAAACCGACGACGGTGACATTCCTGATTCGTATGTTGTTGTTTACAGTACCAAGGAGCAAAGACTCAGACGTCTTTCGACAATGAATGTTCGCTCGCTATAGAATCGCTACTCGCGAAAAGGAATTTAATCCAATCACAAAAAGTGGGAAACTTTTCCAACAATATTTGGTTGATACTGAAATTAAACGTGAGAAAGACGTTATCAACTACTTGAGGTATCAACTCCAACGAAAGATGCTAAAGTTCGTGATCGTCTAACACGAGGAATGTTCGCTCGCTATAGAATCGCTACTCGCGAAAAGGAATTTAATCCAATCACAAAAAGTGGGAAACTTTTCCAACAATATTTGGTTGATACTGAAATTAAACGTGAGAAAGACTTTATCAACTACTTAAGGTATCAACTCCAACCGACTAAACGTGTAGATAAGTGCAGCAGTTTGAAAGCAAACTTGGAAAAGCTTGCAAAAGAAATGAAGAAATGACTCGTCGTTCGTTGGATCGCCACGTTACATGTTGGTCGCTTGTTGCGTTTTGTTAGTTAATGATGACTTGGTGTTTACTAATTTTGTAATTTTTCTAGAATATCCAGCATTTTTCCCTTTGGAGCATTTTACCCTTGGTTAAGTCATCTACTGAAGGAAGGCGCATTTCTCTCCCATAACGAAGGTATTAAGGACTGTATTTAGTAGTTGAATGAGGTACCGCTCGCTCTATGCGCCATCAACGCATAGTTGACAAACTCGTCCCAATTATTTCCATATTTATTGACTTAATTGCTAATTGATTAAGTCCCAAAAGAAATTTTTCAATTTTGCCCTGCATCTTAGGGTTAAATGCGGTCGAAGTTAATCTTTTCATTTCTTGAAATAATTGTGACAAAGTCTGTCCCTCTGTCCGAACTAAGGACTCTTGGACATCCGTGACGGCTAAACACATTGCCAAGTAAGGCGCGTGTTACCGTCTCCGCGTCTTGTTTAGGTATTGCGACGGTTTCAGGAAATCGTGTGAAATGGTCAATGAAGGTGAGAAGATAATTCTTTCCTTTCTCACTGAGTGGGTGAGGTCCACAAATATCGATGGAAGTAATTTCGAAAGGAAAGTGAGTCTCTGGAAGCTCACCTGAAGGTGCGGCAATGATTCGTCCTCCCTTATGTTGAGCGCAAGAGTGACATTTGTTTACGTATTCTTCGACATCTTTGTTTAATGTCGGCCAAAAGTAATGTAATTTGATAATGTCCTGCGTTCTGGTAATACCCTGATGTCCTATGTATACTTTATCATGATGGTGTTCAATAACTGTCGAAATTAGACTTTGAGGTATGATAATCTTCGTTTTCTGTCCTACGACTTTGTAACAAAGAATTTCATTATTATCAAGAAAGAATTTAGTTTATTGCGATGTTCCTTATCTGTTCTTGGCAATAAA